AATGTTACCTGCAGATTATCTAGATAACTTTGCATTCGTTCCTCCCTGGCTTCGAACGTCTCATTAACTTGGTTCACTACAAGGAGGGAGTCACACTTAGCTCATACTCGGACTCATTGTTAGTTAATTTTACATTCCTAATAGATTGTCTAACTACACTACCTGCTGGTGGTTTCAATATAATTCCAAGTCCGGACCCCTTTGCATTCGAGGCACCGTCTGTAAAGAGGGTCCAAATTCCCGAAGAAGTTCCTGAGCTTAACAACAACCCTTTCTCGACCTCGGGTCTTACGACTAGCGTAAGTCGGCTACAAAGTGTGCCAAAATTTGAGATTTAATGGCGCTCCAAGGCCAATATTCGATATCATACCCGTTGATCTCTACGACCCTTTTGGCCAACCGTACCGAGAGTTCGGTTTTATGCATTACATTCCTTAATGGGTAAGTGGTTACAACACATATGTGGTGACATTGAAAGTACAGTTTCAGCTTCCTAGAGGCGCTTAGCAAAGCGAGCGCCAATTTTTCTAGGTGAGGGTATCTAGTTTCGGCCTCACCTAAAGTCCTACTAACATAGTAAATTGGAAATTCCATACCTTTATCTTCCCGGACTAGGACTCAACTTACCTCTATCTATAATATTGTCAAGTATAGGTATAATTGTTCATCTATCTTCAGTGTGTGAAGCAGAGATGTGCTCGATAGATATTGCTTGAGCTCCTCCAAGGCTTGTTATCAATTCGGGGTCCATGAGAAGTTACTCTTTCTCTTCAACAGTGAGAAGAATCGGTGGCTTTTGTCGGAGGACCGCGAAATAAATCATCCCAAGGCGGCTATGCGTCCGATTAATCTTTGTACGACCTTTACATTGTCCACAATAGTGATATCTTCGATGGCCTTGATCTTGATTCTCCGGTTGGATACCTTGACCGAGCAATTTACCATACCCGAATCCAAATGCACATTTCTCCTGGTTCAGCTTCATATTGTATTTCTTCAATATGCTGAAGGTTTCCTACAAATGTTTCAATTGGTCCTATGCTCACAGGGACTTAACCAACATATCGTCTATGTAAACTTCCATTAATTTCCCTATTTGTTCTTCGAACATCCTATTTACTAGGTGTTGGTAAGTGGCGCCGGCGTATTTTAGTCTGAACGGCATCACGTTATAGTAGTAGGTGTCGTACTTGGTGATGAAGGAAGTTTTTTCCTTATCGCCCGGGTTCATACGAATTTGGTTGTACCCGGAATAAGCGTCGAGATAATTGAGGATCTCGTGGCCGGCAGTTACATCGATCATATGATCGATGTTAGGCAAAGGAAAAGAGTCCTTGGGACATTCTTTATTCAAGTCTTTATAGTCCACACACATTCTTAATTGTTTCCCTTTTTGGGGGACTACTACTAAGTTTGCTAACCAGTCCGGGTATTTAACCTCCCGGATGGACAGAGTTTAGATACCTCCTCCTTGATGAAAGCATGTTTGACCTCGGACTAGGGTCTCCTCTTTTTCCTGACCGGGTGGAACTTCAGGTCCATGCCTTGCCTGGGAGTGGTTATTTCCGGCGGGATTCTTGTCATATCAAGGTGGGACCAAGCAAAACAATATTCGTTAGCTATAAGAAATGAATGAGTTTTTTCCTGAGCTCGGGATTCAACCTTGTGCCCAGGTATACCTTTTGATTAGGCAAGTGTTCGATGAAAGACCTAGGAACCCCGTAGTCGTCGTCTACCATCTCCTTCTTATCCGGTTGGGACGGGGTCGGTGTCAGTAGTTGCTATTTGGTTTCTCCCTTGGTGACCAGACCCAACTACTTCAGTGTCGAAAGTGTGGATATCGGGACTACCTCGTCAACCACGAACAACTCTTTTGCGGCCGGTTATTCTCCGTAAACTGTTTTTATTCCTTACGGTGTAGGGAACTTCAACACCTGGTGCAGAGTCGAGGGTATCGCCCTCAAGTTGTGAATCCATGGTCTCCCGAACAAAGCATTGTACCTCATGTCCCCTTCGATCACATAGAACTTTATTTCCTAAATGGTCACGGCGGTGTTTACCGATAATGTTATTTCCCCTTTAGTGGTCTCACATGCCATGTTGAACCCGTTTATGACTCAAACCGCAAACACGATCTGATGATGTTGGCCGAGCTACCTGGATCAATTAACACACGCTTAGCTCGAGATTTATTTATAAGTACTGATATTACCAGTGCATCGCTGTGGGGCTGCACGATCCCCTCAGCGTCTTCATCGTTGAAGGACAAGGTTCCCTCCGGCACATAATTCCGAGTTCGTTTTTCCCTTGTGATAGGTACTTTGGTACGCTTCAGCATCGTCCCCACTGATGATCATGTTAATAACGTGATGAGGTTCTTCCTGCTCGATATGTTTACTAGAATCTCTGTTCCTAAAGTGGTTCTTGGCTCGATCGCTCAGGAACTCTCGGAGGTGTCCGTTGTGGAATAGCTGAGCTACCTCCTCTCTTAATTATCAGCAATCTTCTGTTCTATGACTATGAGTGCCATGATATTTTCACATCAGGTTAGGATCCCTTTGGGCTGGATCAGACTGTAGAGGTCGAGGCCATTTGGTGTCTTTGATGCATCCAATGGTGGATACGATGGTTGCGACGTCGACGTTAAAGTTGTACTCTGATAGCCTTGGCACCTCCTTATGCCCGATGGGCCTATCGAAACTATTTTTGCTTATGAGTGCCCGGTTGTTTTGACCTCAATTACTCCTTCTTTCACTTTTCATTGGGTTTCGCCAACATCTGCTACCTCTTCGGTCTCCATTGTATGGCTGATATCGATCCTTGGTTCATGATCAACGTCTCTCCTGACTATGTCGATGGCCCTGACAGGGTAAACGGGCCCGGAAGGGGCCCTAAGTTGATTATCTTCGACCCTGATTTTTGATTGATACCGGTTATACACGTCGGCCTAAGTGACAACTGGTACTCCACCAGATTTTGTTTTAACTGCTGTGAAGCCAACGAGCTTCGAGCATTGAGTCCTTGGGTAAAGGCTTGAATGGCCCAATCGTCCGTGATCGGAGTCAAGTCCATCCATTCCATTTGAAACAGGGACACAAATTCCCTGAGCATCTCATTATCCCTCTGCTTCACTTTGAAAAAGTCTGACTTCCTGGTGTGCTTTTACGAAGGAATCTATAAGCATAGAAAACGCATCGATAGAATTGGGAGGTAGGTTGTGATACCATATCATAGCTCCTTTGGACAGAGTTTCCCCGAACTTTTTTAGCAGGACATACTCAATCTCATCATACTCCAAATCATTCCCTTTAATGGCGCATGTGTAGGAAGTCACATGCTCATTTGAGTCGGTTATTCCATTATACTTAGGAATCTCGGGCATGCGGAACTTCTTTGGGATCGGCTTCGGGGTTGCGCTCGGGGGAAAAGGTTTTTGAACAAACTTCTTGGAATCCAGGCCCTTCAGTATCAGAGGTGCTCATGTGATTTGGTTGACCCTGGAGTTGTAGGTTTTCACCTTTTTGTCATTGGCTTCAATTTTCTTCTCCCCCGACTCTATTCGTTTTGTCAATTCCTCGAGCATCTTCATGATCTCGGGGTTGGTCCCCGATTAATTTTCATTCGGCCTCTTCGTGATCGGTTTATTTTTGCGGGTGACTTCCCGGGATGGCTCAGGTTCAACCCTGCTCGGCGCTCGACTTTGGTTCTGCAATTGGGCTATCGCTGCTTGTTGAGCCTGTAACATTTCGAAGATTACCCGCAAACTGATCCCATCATTTTCACCGCTGTGCTTATTCTGGGCAATCGATCAGACTTCCCTATGCACGCTGTTCTCAGGATCGGTTGGAAAATTTGTGTTGATGGCCACATGTGAACTGGCGTCGATAGGGTCCATGACCGAAAATTCGTTGTGATTGACTGGGGGCACCTCGTTACCCAGTGCTACATTGTTGTTTTCGTCATGGTGGCTGGACTCAACCGTCCATGTTTATGGGGGCAGACTGGGGTTTGACATTTTGATTTTTAACTTGGAATCAAAGACAGTTCAAAGAACAAGTGTAAAATAGGGTGTGGTACGGGAATTTGTATCAAATTGCCGCTATTATTCTTAGCCCCACGGTGGGCGCCAAACTGTTTATCCTCAAAATCGGATAACAATTAAATTTGTAAGTGGTTTTAAGGATATGCGGATTAACTTGATACAAAGCGATAAATTAAGTTACTATAGAATAAATAAAGATAAAATAAATTCAAACCACACGAGTTGAATAGTTGCAACTTTAGTGAAATAGCCGCTCTCGAGCCGGGCTCGTCACGACCGGTAAACCGTTGAAAAAAGAACAAGAGCTAAAGTCAGAGGAAATAATAATATATTACTTTTGAAAGCGTGTTACAATCTGCTTCATGAACTATCAGACCCCTTTTATATAGTAAGGAAGTCCTATTTTAGGTACGACTCTATAAAAGGTAAAAAATCTTCTGATTCACTGATTGTCGGTTCCTTATCAATACGTGCCGAGATCCCCACCGTAATATTTGGCCAGTCACTGATATTTCCTCCTTCTATTGGCTATACTGGATTGTCTGACAATGTTCATCGAAGTCGTTCGAGGCTAGGCCCGATTCCAGGACCATGGTCTCGATATTCTCGAAGACGTGCGTCACGCCCCCGGGTTCTGGCCCGGTGGGACTTTGGCTCGATTTTGGTCCCTTGTTGTTATGTCTCGAGCCTGACTTATTTTTTCAGAGGCTAGAATGCACCACAAGCTCGATTTCACCCGTATACGGAAACAAATTCTTATTTTTTTCATTAGTCAAGACTCACTAGAAACGGCCGAATTTAGTTGTCATCGGACTTTGTAGGCGTATAATGTTACATCATGTCAGTTGACATGGAGCTTAGTGGAGTGGTTTGGTAGTTACAATTAGGCATAAAGTTGTAGTTTTCACCTACTCCATAGTTCAAGTTATAATTTCTTTACTTGTTCGTAGACTGAGATTGCGTGCGAAATGCTGAATATATAGTTGATGAAAACATAAAAAAAGAGCGACAAAACACGGCCAGAGAGGATTTTACGAGATTGATGATCTTTATGAGATTTATATTTCGATCTTTTTCTTAGAACGTAATTTATTGATTATCTTGAAATGAGGATGGAAGAAAAAGGAGTGATTATCAGTGTTTATGTCGAATCTTTATCAACCACAGATTCACAATATAGATCTGATCCATTGAAAAGAACAGCAAAAAAAGGAGGGTACGATCGTCGAGCACAACTCTTGGCCTATGCTCATGAGTTAAGGCATACCAATTCTACATACCCTCGATGTACGTCCGATAATTCAAAACAAAAGCAAAAGGTACGTAATTCAATGTCCCATTTTGATTTATCATGAAAAGTTAGTAATAACCAATTAATCGTTATGTATATGAAGAGAAGCAGTAGCATATTGAGAATTTAGAGTCACTATATTCTGCTTTTTATACACGTGCCACCTTTTTTTTCCCTAAAAAATTAACCTAAATAGTTGGTTAAAGTAAAAATAGACGGTGGATATATATATAACCAGTATATAGTTTATATAGTTTATGTATACCGACTAGAAAATGTAAACAACGAATCTAGTCGGCTTTTGTGTAAAAAATCCCTTTTTTTTCCGCACAAACATATATAGTTTGAGCAAGACACGATGAATTTTGTCGACCCTGCTATGTCTTGTCTATATCCGCCCCATTTTCCCGAATTATACTATGACACATATTTGTTACAGAAAAGGAGATGGACAAGAAGGATAGGATTGCCATTTTCCCGTTTGTTTCGTCGAAAAAATAAGCAGAAGAGGTATGAAAAGATGGGAAGAGAAGATTCCTGTGATGCTAAAGAGTCATGCTATCAAAGAGGGTCCCAAGGAAAAAAGATGAGTGGAGCAAATGAGAAAGTCAGATATGGTTTTTGTGTGAGTACTACAACTATATATACCAATAGCAAATGATCTTTATTTGGCTTAATAATGCATTTCCCAGAAAGGTTTGTGTAACTTTGTGATGTGATGTGATGCAGAACAGATTGAAGTGTCTCTTGAAAGACATCTCATCCATCTGGCAATTCGGCAAGCATTAATCATGTTCAGCTTATTTGATGGATATTGTTGCGCTGAAAGAATTAGTTTGGTGAATGAATTCTTTCTTATGTATTTCTCATCGCGATCAGGTACATATATATATATAGATGTATCTGCATAGCAGAACTTCTATCTATTCAAGAAAACCTGTACATACAAGGTAATAAGATATATATATATTCACTAATTATGGATCCCTCTAATTATTGTACTGCAATTTTTATGGATTCCTATAATCATGGTTTACTACAATCATGTTGATACTCATATAACCCCGCTAACACTCCCATCAAGTTGGTGCATGGATATCTATCATGTACAACTTGTCAATAACTCCATGAAATATCCGTCACGAGACTGCTTTTGTAAGGATGTCTGCAAGTTGTCCTTCTGACTTGACAAATGGAAACTGAATAATCTTTTGATCCATCTTCTCTTTGATAAAATGACAGTCAATTTCGACGTGTTTAGTGCGAACATGTTGTACTGGTTTCGAGCAATCTGGATTGCAGCTTTGTTATCACAAAATAAAATTATAGGCCTTGAACGCTCAATTCTAAGATCTTATAGCACACCTTTAATTCATAACAATTCGCACAAACCATGTGCCATACCTCGAAACTCTACTTCCGCACTTGACCGAGCAACAACCTTTTGTTTCTTGCTTCTCCGGATGACAAGATTGCCTTCTACAAACATAAAATATCCTGAAGTAGATTTTTTGGTTGAACGATCTCCTGCCCAATCAACGTGGGTGTAACCTTCAATGGTAGAGGCTTCATTATTTGAGTACAACAACCCTTTTCCAGGTGCATCTTTCAGATATTTCAAGATTCGATAGACCGCTCTTATGTGTTCTTCATTTGGAGCATGCATAAATTTCCTTACCATGCTCACAACATATGCAATATATGGCCTAGTGTGTGTTAGATAGATCAACTTTCCCACTATCCGTTGATAGCGACCTATATCTACCAGACTTTGGTCAAAATAAATTTCAAGCAAATGGTGCATCTCCATTGGTGTTTCAACTAGTTTGCAGGTTAACATCCTAGTTTTAGTCAGCAAATCCAGCACATACTTTCGTTGGCATAGAGAAATTCCCAGATTTGATCGTGACACTTCAATACCGAGAAAATATTGTAGTTGTCCGAGGTCTTTCATTTCAAACATGGTGGCCAAATACTTCTGTAGCTTCTCTATTTCTTCAGTGTCATTACCAGTCAAGACCATATCATTTGCATACACTATCAATGTTGTGATCTTTCCTCATTTGGTTTTAATAAATAAAGTATGGTCAGAGTTACGTTGCCTGTAACCAACTAACTTCATTGATGATGTATCTCCCAAACCAGGCTGTAGGTGATTGTTTAAGCCTATACAATGATCTCTTCAATTTACATACATTACCTTTAGGTACATATCTATAGTTAACACCAGGTGGCATCTCCATAAATATTTATTCCTCCATGTCTCCATTCAGGAAAGCGTTCTTTACGTCAAACTGCCGTAATGGCCAATTTCGATTTGATGCAACTGATATGAGGATCCAAACAATATTAAGCTTAGCTACTAGTGATAAACGTTTCTTGATAATCAACTCCATACTTTTGTGTGTAACCTTTTTCTACTAGCCTTGCTTTATACCTATCGATACTTCCATCGGCTTTAAGTTTTATGGTGTATACCCATTTGCATCTAACTGATTTCTTTCCTTCAGGCAACGACACTAGCTTCCAAGTTGAGTTCTTTTTAAGAGCCTTCATTTCTTCATTCATTGCTTTAGTCCACCTTGGATCTGCTAATGCTTCCTGCACAATATTAGGAATAGACACTTTGGACAATTGATCAACATTTAGGGCACATAAATCCATTGATTTAGGAGTAGAGGTATAATTATTGATAAGATATTGGGCTTTTACTTTAAGACTGGGTTCATATTGTTTCTTTGTGATAAACGAGAGGGCAAAGGATCATCTGAGTGGGATTCAGTAGTTACCTGAGGTTCAACATTTGCTTGATCGTTCTGAAAATGAGGCTCCTCGGTTGATGGTGTTAGCATAAGCTCTTCTGATGGAACTTCATCATTATCATTCACAAATAAGTTAGGCATACTCGGGGTCTGCAAACTTGGAGTCTCTAAATCAGGCTGATTAATTTGGGTTGATGTATACTTAATTCTTCTCCAATGACCTCTAATTTTTAAAATATAATCTCACCATTTGAAGTTCCATTATTTCTGCCATGTATCTCAATCTCATCACTCGAGTTCTCCCCCTGGGGAGATGAGCTCGAAACTCCCGTGTAGTATGGTTTTGTTTCATGGAAGGATACATCCAAAGATACTTGTAATTTCTTAGTGCACGGATCATAATATCTCTATCCCTTTTGGAAATCTGAATATCCAACAAAAACACATCATGTGGCACAAGGATCCAATTTTCTTCGCAAGACTTTGGGAATATAAACATATACAGTACACCCATAATGTTACGACCCAAAATCCTAACCTATCGTGATGGCTCCAAATATGGTACTAGGCAAGCCAACTTCTCACAAATATTTCCAACACTTTTCATAAGAATGAATTAAAACAGATTTAATAGCAAAAGTTCTCATAAACGGGATAGAAAACCCAATACATAATGTGAAATTCCCAACTATCGGGGTGTCACAGAGTACATGAGCATCTATACATCACAAGTCTGAAAAAACACAATCTATAATAATATGAGACCAAAGAAAGTAAACAAGAAGATACGGAAGGAAAGACAAGGTTTGCGAAACACGACAGCTACCTCAGAATCTCCGAAAAATTAACTGTGCGAAGGAATCAACACCCACTATGTCCGGGAACACCTGAATTTGCACACGAAGTACAGGGTGTAGTATGAGTACAACTAAATCAGTAAGTAACAATACTAAATAAAGAGCTAAAAATAGTGACGAGCTTCGCGGCTAAGTCCAATTAGAGTAATTTCCAACATAAGAAGGTAGGCATGCTTTCATGTTCAACATTTAAAACTCAATAGTAATTTCATATCAAGTTTGACTGAAAAAGAAGATAATATCTTTCAAAAAATTTCATAACAGTGATATATGACAGCTGAAGTGCAACAATAACGAAATCAATGCATCCTCTCAGAGCAACAGTCACTCAGTCCTCCCATTCACTCCAACCTCACAATCACTCTTTCCTCATAGTCACTCACTCTTCTCAATCACTCAGCACTCGGCACTCGGCACTCACACTCAGTAGGTACCTGCGCTCACTAGGGTGTGTACAGACTCCGGAGGGGCTCCTTCAGCCCAAGCGCTATAACAATCCAATTATCGCATAAATTAATAAAATATGATGCGGCGTGAAGCCCGATCCCATAGATATCCTCACAATCAGACCCTCGGCCTCACTCAGTTATCAATCTCTCCAGTCTCTCAGTCTCTCAGAAATCATTATAAGCAACCCAAACAGCAATGATATGATGCATCAATAATGAACAATAGAGACTGAGATGTAATATGCAAGTAAAACTGTGACTGAATACATAACAGTAGTTTGACAGATAATTCAAAATGTACACGACCTCTGTGGGTCCCAACAGTGTCAACACATGGTTTAAACATGATTTATAGTTCGATTTCTCTAATACGTGACAAAATGTACTGGTAACAACAAATAATTCGACTACACATATCCATGGAATTGACCAAGTCAAAATTCCTACGTGCACGCCACACGCCCATCACATAGCATGTGTGTCACCTTAAAACCAATCACATAACACATAATCCGAGGTTTCATACCCTTAGGACCAAATTTAGAATTGTTACTTATCTCAAATCGTGTAATTCTTTATTCAGCAATGCCTTTGCCTGGAGAATCAGCCTCCAAACGCCTCGAATCTAGTTACAAATAATTTGATTCAGTCCATACAATTTATAGGAATTAATTCCATATGAAAATACTAATTTTTCCAACAAAATCCGAAATTGCACCCAAATGTCGCCCGTGAGGCCCACATCATGGAATCCGACGAAACTCACAAAATCTGACAACTCATTCAATTACGAGTCCAACCATACTAGTTTCACTCAAATACGACTTCGAATCGACATTCAAGTCCCAAAAATTCATTTTTATGAAATTTCTACAATTTTCCCCTAATTTCCAACTCAAAATATGATTAAATGATGAAAACAATGATATATTCATGTATATTAACCAAATCCGAGTTAGAATCACTTACCCCGATGAATTTCTTGAAAATATCACGAAATATCGCCACAAATCGAGCTCCCAAAGTTCAAATATGAAATAATACTCTAACCCTCATTCATATAGTACAAGAATTTGACCCCTCATTCTGCTGACCGCAATGTTTTTTGTGCGGCCGCACATCCCAGGTCCCGCGGCCGCAAGTCCAAATTGTGCGGTCGCACTTCAACTTTGATGCAATACCAGGCTTCAGTAAATTGACCATAACCTTCTATTCAAATGTCCAAATGATGATTGGTTTACCTTTCTGAAAACTAGATTCAAAGGGATACAATTTTGAATCATCTCCAAATTCCCTGTAGATTAAAAGATATAAGCTTCCGAAGTCAGACCAACAAATCTGCAGAATCTCAATTCTACGGTCGCGAGAGAAATTGTGCGGTCCGCACTGTTACATTTCTTCAGCACACCAAAGTGCCCCCCCCCTTCCCCCGCACTTTAAAAGTTCCAGAACAACATCACAGTACCGAAATGCCCAGACTCGTTCAAAACTCACCCCGAAACATACCCGAGCCACTCGGGACCCCGTTCAAATGTACCAACAAGTCTTATAACACGATACGAACTTAGTCGATCCCTCAAATCACATCAAACAACATCAAAAATACAAATCGTACTCCAATTCAAGCCTAATAAAAACTAACAATTTCCAACTTCTACATTAAATGCCGAAACGTATCCAATCAAGTCCGATTGAGCTCAAATTTTGCACACAAGTCATAAATGACATAGTAGGCCTATTCTAATTTCCAGAATCATATACCAATTTCCAAACCTCATAACACCATTCATAGATGAAACTCATAGTAATACCTTCTCTCCTACCATGTAATCAACATCGCGAACCTTCCTGTCGGCATAACTCTTATGTCTATACTGCGTCGTGCAAAGCTACTCCTGAATTAATTTAACCTTCCCCAAAGCATCCTGAACCAAATCAAGACCCAATAGCGTAGCCTCGCCCGACTCAAACTAACCCACCGAAGACCGACACCGTCTCCCATATAAAGCCTCATACAGAGCCATTTGAATGCTCAATTGGTAGCTGTTATTATAAGCAAACTCTGCCAGTGGCAGAAATTCATCCCAAGAACCCCCAAAATCAATAGCACAAGCGCGTAGCATTTCCTCCAATATCTAAATAGTGCGCTCGGACTGTCCGTCCGTCTGAGGGTGAAATGTTGTACTCAACTGAACCTGTGTGCCCAATTCTCGCTGCACTGCTCTCCAAAACTATGATGTAAACTGCGTGCCCCAAACTAAAATGATGGACACCGGAACACCGTGAAGGTGAACAATCTCGTGGATATAAATCGAAGCCAACCGCTCCGAAGAATAAGTAGTACCAACTGGAATAAAATGCGTGAACTTGGTCAACCGATCTACAATCACCCAAACAACATCAAACTTCCTCAAAGTCCGTGGAAGTCCAACTATGAAGTCCATGGTAATGTGTTCCCACTTCCACTCTGGAATTTCAAATCTCTGAAGCAATCTGCCTGGTCTCTGATGCTCGTACTTCACCTGTTGTCAATTCAAACACCGATCTACAAACCCAACTATATCTTTCTTTATTTTTCTCCACTAATAGTGCTGCCTTAAGTCATGGTACATCTTAGCGACACCCAGATGAATGGAATACCGCGAACTGTGGGCTTCCTCGAGAATCAATTCACGCAGCCCATCCACATTAGGCACATAAATCCGACCCTGCATCCACAATACCCTATCATCCCTAATAGTAACATCGTTGGTATCACCGTGCTGAACTGTGTCCTTAAGGACAAGCAAATGGGGATCATCATACTAGTGCTCTTTGATACATTCATATAAAGAAGACCGAGAAACCACATAAGCTAGAACCCGACTGGGCTCCGAAATATCTAATCTCACGAACTGGTTAGCCAAGGCCTGAACATCAACTGTCAAAGTCCTTTCACCAACAGGAATGAATGCAAGGCTACCAATACTCACCGCCTTCCTACTCAAGGCATTGGCCACCACATTGTCTTTCGCGGGATGATACAGAATAGTAATATCATAATCCTTCAGCAGCTCCAACCATCTCCGCTGCCTCAATTTAGATCCTTCTGTTTGAATAAGTGTTGAGGACTCCGATGATCTGTAAATACCTCACACAACACACCATAGAGATAGTGCCTCCAAATCTTCAATGCATGAACAATAGCTGCCAATTCTAAATCATGAACATGGTAGTTCTTTTCATGTGGCTTCAACTGACGCGAAGCATAAGCAATCACTCTACCATCCTACATTAAGACACACCCAATACCAATCTGAGAAGCATCACAATACACTGTGTAAGACCTGAAGCTGAAGGCAAAATCAGAACTGGAGTTGTGGTCAAGGCAGTTTTGAGCTTCTGAAAGCCCTCTTCACACTTATATGACCACCTGAATAGAGCACATTTCTAGGTCAATTTAGTGAAAGGTGATGCAATAGAAGAGAATCCATCCACAAAGCGACGATAATAACCAGCCAAGCCGAGAAAACTCTGAATCTCAGTAGCTGAAGATGGCATGGGCCAACTCTGAACTACTTCTATCGTCTTCGGATCCACCTTAATTCTTTTATTGGACACTATGTGTCCCAAGAATGCCACTGAACTAAGCCAGAACTCACACTTAGAGAATTTGGCATAAAGTCTCTCCTCTCTCAGCCTCGGTAATATAATACCCAAGTGTTGTGCATGCTCCTCCTAGATACGTGAGTACACCAAGATATCATCAATAAATACTACGACAAATGAATCAAGATATGGCTGGAATACTTTATTCATCAAGTGCATGAATGCTGCTGAGGCGTTGGTCAGCCCAAAAGACATCATGAGAAATACATAGTG